TTGGTCAATATATATATATATTTATATGTCTCTCTTTCTGTGCAAAAACAGCTTTTCAGGCAAGCGAAATGCGGATGGTTTTGATGTGCCATGCAGGGACTTTGCGAGAGGCTCATGCAATTTTAAGATAGATGTATCACAGTGAGGAGCAATTTATCAAAGTGTCAGACATGGGAATGTGTTCTTCATTTGGTGTAAAGTACACTGAATGTTTCTGTAATGGGTTTATTTTCTTATCATTTAAGCTGGCTGAGCCATTTACATTGTGTGTTTTCTGAGAACTTAATAAAGGCCTTTTGTCTCTGTGTATGAGACTCAATCTCATTAGTTTTTGTACATATTTGTATGTAAATTGTGGTTATAGCAGACAGTGATTCATACAGTGTCAACACATGCTCCTCATGAGTCCTTGGATATTAAGCCTGTCCATAGAATCCATGAATCCTTTCATTAGTACATGTGCATTTCATGTGTCCACTTTATATGCAAATACAAATGAGATCAGACTGTGTACAGTATTATATTCCATAGTGTTTGATGGTCATTTGAGAGTTTTGAGTCTGATGTGGATGGATGGATGGATGGATGGATGGATGGATAGACAGATAGATAGATAGATAGATAGATAGATAGATAGATAGATAGATAGATAGATAGATAGATAGATAGATAGAGAGATAGAGAGATAGATAGAGAGATAGATAGAGAGATAGATAGAGAGATAGATAGATTGTTTTAAAGAAATTAAAACTTTTATTCAGCAATGAAGCATTAAATTGATCAAAAGTGACAGTAAAGACATTTATATTGTTACAAAACATGTCTGTTTCAAATAAATGCTGTTCTTTTGAACTTTCTATTCAGTAAAGAGTCCTAAAAATGCATTATCGTTTCCAGAAATTTCAACATTGATAATAATTCATGTTTCTTGAGCATCAAATCATCATATTAGAATGATTTCTGAAGGATCATGTGACACTGAAGACAGTAATGATGCTGAAAATTCAGCTTTGATCACAGGATATAAATTACATTTTAAAATATATTCACATAGATAACAGTTATTTCAAATTGTAATAATATTTCACAATATTACTGTTTTATGCATCACCAGACAGTCAAACCGTGTGTGTGTGTGTGTGTGTGTGTGTGTGTGAATATACATTAGGCTCATACTCATGAGTTCTTTGACCCTACCGGTAATCAAACTGAAGGCCTTGGCATTACTAGCGTCATGCTCTACTGGTCACAAACAGGGAAGCTAATGCTGTTATCTAATCCTGAAAGTTAAAAGCTAATGTTCATGCTCACCAAAGCAGACCGTTCTTGTTTTTGGACCTTTGCCATCTCATTTACAGTTACGATAGAGAGATGACAGGTAATGATGTGGAATTGACCATGGCTCAGTTTGTTGAAGCACATGTGCTAAACCCTAGGGTTCATCCTCAACAGCTGAGTCATTTAAATGTGTGTCATGAAGAGTGCCAGTTCTGTGAAGACCGTTCATCATGCTGACCTGAATTCATTCAGATGAATATTCACAGATTTACCAGCACTGTCTGACACGCACACACACACACACACACACACACACACACACACACACACACACACACACACACACACACACACACACACACACACACACACACACACACACACACACACACACACACACACACTCGTTGTGTTTTCATGTTTTTTAATGGGGATTTTCCATTGACATAATGATTTTTCTACTGTACAAACTGTATATTCGCTGCCCTTACACTAACCATACCCATCACAGAAAACTCTCTGCTTTTTTCCATAAAAAAACCCAAAACCTTACTATGATTAATGAGCTGTTTTCCTCATGGGATCAAACAAGGTCCCCACAATTACAAGGATTTGATATTGCCATATTTGTGGGGAAATTTTGTCCTCATAATGTAGGGTTTACACACACACACACACACACACACACACACACACACACACACACACACACACACACACACACACTCACTTACTCACTCACTCACACACACACACACACACACACACACACATGCACACACATTTACTCAAACACGTGTGCACACACATTCACACTCACTCTCTCTCTCACACACACACACACACACACACAATTATATAAATCATGTACTGTATGTACTAGTAAACTAATGAAACATGCTTTGCTGATTAACTATTTGTAATTTATTGCAATCAATAATTTCTTAATATTTAAAGACATTTCATTCTTTGTTATGAATCATTGAAAAGTATTGATTATTTTTAGTATTGATTATATTTTTTCTATTGAACACAAGCCTATTATTATTGCTTACATCGTCAACTGCATATACAATATACTACATACTGTATGTAAAATACTGCACATTTTGTTATAATAAATACTACTTTAGTATGTGTTACAAGACAAAATGCAAATAATATAAGTTATTATTTAAGTTTTAGACCATTGTGCAAGCAACATTTGCCTTATAACAGATCTGTATGTATAATATCTCTAGTCATATTTGGATGCTAGTGTGACTGTTGTCAGCTGTCGGAGTCAGTAATATATGGAGTGTTGTGTGTGTTCATTCAGTCTGGCACAATGAAGGCAGAACATGTATGTTTGATCTCGCTGTGACAGCGGTTCATGCATTTACACTTCTGGACTGTGTTTGAGATGAAACTGTAAATCTCTCAGCAGCTTCGGGGCGGTTATCAGTGCCGTTACTCTCAGTGTTGATAAAGTGGACATGATGAAGTTCAAACAGGTAGAAAACCTGCTATGTATTTTCCTCTTCTTTTCCCTGAACTCCCTGAGGAGAGACACTCGGCCAACAAAGCTGCGAAACGTGTAGAAACCAAAGCGTTAGTGTAGTGAGCATAAAGCCCACCAGTGTTCATCACTATCAGACGATCACAAAAGCTTTATGAAACGCACATCCCGGCCCAGCTGCTCCTTCGTGTCGAGCTTTAAAAAGTATCGCCATGTATCACAGTTGGAATTTCTTCCTGCTAATTCCCTATCATGTCGAAAGGCTTTTTATTGCGTTGTTGGAGGCGATCCCACATCAATTATTGGCTTCCTCCTCAAGGGAAGAAAGTGTTTTTCAGACGTCGGCTTGTGGAGGTTGTTGGTGCCAGGCTTCTCTCTTTCTGGCTGTGCTGAAACACTCCTTCAGAGCTCGATCCCACGAGACACACAGATCCAGGACTGCAGATCTGCTGGAGTTCAGAGGTTCGGAAGCAGCAGCAGGAGAGCACATGTTCTTTCTTTGTAATGTTACTCAAAAGCTATTCAAAAACAGGTTCCAGGTCTAATTTTAAGTTTATATCTCAAAGTGGCCATGAAACGGAAGCTATGATAATCTTTTCTTTCATATCGTGACTCATATCAGAGTGAAACGGCTTGTGGAACAAGAGCAAATGTAGGGCAGGACTTGGTTTTGTCTGTGGGGAATTGATTGGAAGGTTGGAAGGTCGTGGCTCGCTATTGGTGGATCTCATGTGAGTGACAGGTTGCCCCGCCCTTTCGCCAGTAAATGCATCATTTGATTGAAGTTTTGATTTGATTGAAGTTTATTTCGAGCAAAATAAAATAAAATAATATAAACATATATATTAACACACACACAATTCAAAATAAAAATAACATAGCACAGCTTATCTACCATATACATAGATATAAATACACATATACACACATATTATTTACACTAATAATAATAGTTGCTCGAAAGGGAGTGGAAAGAAGTATAACTTATTTGCTCCCACCCCCAATTCCTTCCCATATATTACCCCATATATCCGCTGCCATTAACAGTTAAATACATAATAATTTATTTGTTATGATAATACTTATTTGATATTATAGTTTCTTACAATTACATTATGCTATCTCAATAATCACTATAATGCTATATGGTAATCCTCATTATCGTAAACATTCAAATATGTCTCGATATCTATAATAATCACATCATATATAAAATATAACCATATATCCTAGCATATTGTTTAAACATAGTTTTACAATAACAGTAATATCAATAATAATTAATATTACTCACTATCATTATGTACTTAGCTATGTATACGTATCCCACTCTATTGTAATTGTGTCACCATTGACAATATCAAGATAAATAAATATCAGAGAAGTGATGTGCATTTATAACTCATTTATACTTGCAATTTCATATTTTTGAAAGAAGACTCTTCTGATCATCACCAAGGCTGCGTTTATTTAAACAGGAAAATCTTGTGAAATATTATTACAAGTTAAAACGGCTGTTTAATATATAGGAAACTGTAATTTATTCCTGTGGTCAAAGCTGCATTTTCAGCATCATTCCTCCAGTCTTCAGTGTCACATGATCCTTCAGAAATCATTCTAATATGCCGATTTGATGCTCAGGAAACATGGCAGTTCATTTAAATGTGCGGTGGTTATGAGAAAACAATGATTTTTGATGTGTTTATTCCTTTTTTTACTTGATAAAGTGCATAGGTAACGCTCCGTTTCTTTGACACCGTCTATCTGTTGATATATGAATAATATGAATTTATGTATTTCTATGATTAATGTGATCCTGCAGGCCTGCCCGCATTACAGCACAGCTAATTATGACAGCGTGTTGCTTCCAGCAGAAATAATAGACCTTGTGGAACATGATTAAATTCTTTGTTGTTTTTTCCTTGTCATTCATAACATCCCCATATTTCATGTTTCCAGCCCTCATTTCTCCATGCTTCACTGCGCCAGAGGTATTGTCGTCTAACGCGTAAAAGCCCACGTTCTTCTGATTCATCTGCATTTTTGCTCATTGATGATCAGTGAACATCTGCACTTGATTGCTTTAGACACGTTTGCATCGTAATATCTTTTTTTTTTTTGCCTGTAATAACAACACACTAAACGTTTTTGTTAAAAGCACATTTAATGGGTGAGGTGTTTCACCGTACGTGTTTTCTCACGTCTGTTTGTTTTGTGTTTGCAGATGATGAAGTTTGCCTGGGACAAC